ATGCAGATGGCCAAAAAATACATGAAAAGGTGCTCAACGTCACTAATATTCAGAGAAATGCAAGCCAAAACCATAATGAGATCACACCTCACACCTGTAGGAATAGCTATTATCAAGAAAGCAAGAAGTGCTTGAGGATATGGAGAAAAGGGAACCCTCCTGTACTGTTGGTAGGAATGTAAATTGGTGCAGCCACTAATGAAGATAGTATGGAGGTTCCTCAGAAAATTAGAACTACCAGGTGATCCAGCAATTCCATTGTCTGGTCATTTACCTAAAGAAAAGGAATACACTGATTTGAAAAGAAATCTACACCCTTGTGTTCATGGCAGCATTGTTTATACAATGGATAAAAAAAAGTTTTATAAATATGCACAATGGAATATTATTCAGCCATAGAATAGAAGGAAATCCTTGCCATTTGCATCAACATGGAAGGACCGTGAGGACATTATAAGTGAAATAAGTCAGACAGAGAAAGACAAATACTGTATGATCTCATTTAGATGTGGAATTTAAAAACAAATGAACTTAGGGATACAGAGAACACAGTGATGGTTGCCAGAAGCAAATGGTATGGGATGGGTAGAATGAATAAAGGTGGTCAAAAGGCACAAACTTTCAGGTTATAAATAACTTCTGGGGATGTAATGTACAGCATAGTGACTATAGTTAATAAAACTGTATTGTATATTTGAAAAGTCATAGAAAAATAGATCTTAAAAGTTCTCATAAGAAAAATATTTTGTAACTGTATGGTGATGGATGTTAACTAATTAGACTGTGGTAATCATTTCATAGTATATATACACATAAGTAATCGTTATTTGTATACCCAAAACTAGTATACTATGTCAATTAAAAAAAGGGGGGGATATATAGCAGAGGCCACTGTCTTTATGTGCACACATGAGGAACGGCCATGTGAGGGTATAGTGAGAGGCAGCCATCTGTAAGCCACAAAGAGAGATTTCACCACAACCCAACATGCTGCCACTCTGATCTTGAACTTCTGAAAAAATAATGTCTGTTGTTAAAGCCAAAAGATAGAAAAAGGAACAAAGATCATCTGTGTAAATAGAAACAAATAGCAAGGTCATGGATTTATACCACATCAGTGATTACATTAAATTTAAATGGTCTGGGGGTGCCTGGGTGTCTCATTCATTGTGTCTGACTCCTGATTTCAGCTCAGGTCTTGATCTAGGATTGTGAGTTGAAGCATTCATATTGAGCCCTACACTGGATATGGAGCCCACTTAAAAAAAAATTAAATGATCTGAAAACTCTTAATTGAAAGACCAATTGACTGGATAATGTGCGGCCTACTAGAAACTTGCTTGAAATATTAAGATACAGGTTAAATGAAAGGAAAAGGGTGTTCTGTGCAAGGCATAAGCAATTTAGAATGGTTACATTAATATCAGTGTACTTTAGGAAAAAAATTCCAGGAATAAAAGGAACATTTCATAATGATGGAATCAATTCGTAAAAATTATATAATAGTTCTAAATATGTATAACCTAATTTTATTCCTTTTCATGGTATAACTTTGAAGTTCATGAGACAGAAACTGCCAGAATTGAAAGAAACAAGCAAATTCACACATAGATTTGAACATCCTTCTCTCATTTATTGATAGAATTAGTGGACAAAAAAATTAGCAAGGATGTAGAAGACTCAAGTAATCAAATAAGTGGATCTAATTTATATTTATGAAATTGTTAACCCACCAACAGTAGAATACACATTCTTTTGAAGAGTACATAGAATATTTACCAGGTAGACTCTTAATCTTCGGGCATCAGACAAGTCTCAGAAATTTAAAAGGTTTACAGTCCTATACAGGAGGTTTTGTGACTCCAGGGGAAATATTTTAGTAATAGATACTTGGGAAATTCTCAGTTACTTGGAAATTAAGCAATACTAATAATCAGTGGATCAAAGAAGAAATTAGGGGGGAAATTAAACTGGTTTTTCAAAGAAAAAAATGGAAATAACAATCAAAATTTGTGGAATGCAGGTAAAACAGCACCTGTACTTTCAGTGCTAATACTAGAGTAGAAGTCAGTAATCTTAAGTTTTTATATTTGAAATCAGTAAAAGAAGAACAGAGTAGACCTAAAATAATTAGAAGGCAGGAAATGAGAGCAAAAAACTATGAAATAAAAAACAGACAACTTTAAAGAAAATCAAGTTCAACAGTTGAGTTTTTTGAAAAGGTATAAAATTGATAAAGCTCTAATGTTGCTCAAGAAAAAAGGAAAAAAATATTACCAATAATCAGACATGAAGTGTCTGAGTAACAACCAGATATGAATAATCACTACAGATCAGACCTCAGACCTCATAATGAAAAAATATACTCATAAATTTGATGATTTAGATGTATACATTCCTTGAACAGTACACCTACCAAAATAGAAATAGAATAGTCTGAATAGCACATGAAAAAATTTGAATTCATTATCAAAAGTCTTCACACAAAATACTGTTGAATTCTATTAAGGATTTAATCTTACACAAAGTTTTTCAGATATCTTAGGTTTGTATGACTTTGTTATAAAAATCTGATGAAGTCATGAAAAAATGAATTACAAATCATTATCTCATGAGCATAAACAGAAATCAAAACATTAGCACATCAAGTCCAGCAAAATATGATAAGGTTATACATTATGATTAATGGGATTTATCCCTTTGGTTCAAAAGCAAAATATGTAAAGGTTATACATTATAGTTAATGAGGTTTATCCCATGGATTCAAAAGTTAACAGTTTAAATAATAGTCATCTCAGTAGGTACAGAAAGAGAATTTTGCGTATTCTTTTTTTTTTTTAATTTATTCATGAGAGACATAGAGGCAGAGACACAGGCAAAGGGAGAAGCAGGCTCCATGCAGAAAGCTCAATGTCGGACTCGATCCTCGAATTCCGGGATCACCCCCTAGCCAAAGGCATCCCAGAGAATTTTGTGTATTCAACACTTAATTTCACTAAAAAAGCTCCATAAGAGCAACAGAAGGGAACTTTCTAAATTGGACAAAGCTCATCTGTGAAAACCGGCAGCTAACATTCTTAATACTAGAGAAATAGTGATAGGTCTGTACAATGGAATACCAATCAGCAATAAAAAGAAGTGGAGTATGAATACATGGAACAGCATGAGTATATTTTACACATTCTGCTTAGCAAAAGCAGCAGACAGGAGACTTACGTGTGTGATTAAGTTTATTTGAAACTCTGAAAGATATTTGTGACAATGAAAATCAAGGTGTGTATGAGTGTCCATTTGGGTTGACGGAAGTATTCTGCATCTTGATTGTTGTGGTTCCATAATGCATACATTTCTCAAAAATTACTGGAATATCCATATAAAAGTGGTTTATTTTATTGAACGTAAACATTCTAATAGACTAAAAATATATTACAAAAAATGTGGCTTAAGCTAATATTGAAAGTGGTTAGAATAGTTATTTGTTGGCATTACATTTAATAAAAGTTCCTTTTAATTCTCAAATGTTTCAGATGTGTGATTGGAGGCTTTTGATTCAATAATAATTTATTAACAATATTTAAACTACAATTATAGTTTATAAAATAGTAATTTAATAATTCATTAATCTAATTAATAATTTAAAATATTTGGTTCTAAGATCATCTAGAACTCAGTTCAAATGTTGGCTTTGTTGCTTAGTACCTCTATGGCTTTGGAAAACTTCTTAACATTTCTTTGCGCAGTTATTTTCACAATGAGGAATAGTAGTTCTTTTTTTTTTTTTTAATTTTTTATTTATTTATGATAGTCACAGAGAGAGAGAGAGGCAGAGACATAGGCAGAGGGAGAAGCAGGCTCCATGCACTGGGAGCCCGACGTGGGATTCAATCCCGGGTCTCCAGGATCACGCCCTGGGCCAAAGGCAGGCGCTAAACCGCTGCGCCACCCAGGGATCCCAGGAATAGTAGTTCTTAATGTTAAGCCTATGAGTGGTTATGTAAGTTAAATATAATTCATGTATAGTGCTTAGCAAGTGCCTGGTATAGATTAAACCCTGAATAAATGTAGCTACCATTTTTATTAATTGCCTTGTTATTTTTACTGTTAAACTTCAACAGATTTTGTTAGTTCAGTGAACTCATATCATGTGTTTTTCCCTAACCGTCAACCGTGATATACTTTGGAACTTTTTTTCTTAGATTTAAGGCCCTTTGGGAATCTGATAAGAGCTAATGCTGCTTTTACCCAGAAAAATAAAGTGAAAAAAATACCCATACAGTTTTCCATGGTTTGTTCATAAACTCGTTAAAGTCTAGAAATAAGATCCATTGCTACTAATAAGCAGATTATAGAAACAGCTTTCTTACTCATATAATATTAAATTTCTTTTAAAAGTTTTTTATGATTTAAATTTTTATTGCTTCAAATTTAGACATGTTATTTCATGTATGAGTTAAAATGATCTTAAACTTTTAGAAATAAAATAGACTTTAAAGAAAACATTTGCTGATATTACTGGTTGTTATATTTGGAAACTCCCCTACTTTGATCAGATTGAATCCTATTTTTAGTATATGTGCTGCCAAAGTGAGCACAATCAGACTGAATCCTGTAACTTTTAGAAATGGTTAATTTTCTCTCTAATGTTTTGATCTTACATTGTGTCATGTTTGTCCAAGAGCTGTGAATTTTGACATGCTTTTATCAAATGCATAATATGTGTGTTTAATATATATGTATAATATGACTGTATAATATGACTTCCTGGATTTCTTAATTAGTATCTTATTAATTAAATATATCTAAAATTGTTACCATTCTAAACAATATCCAAAAAAATCAGTTTAAGTGAATTTTACTTTTTTAGATATTTTAGTGCTCCCATCATTTAATTTTTTCTTTTTATTTTACCATTTTTAATTAGGAGGTATACATAAATACTCTGGAAGGGAATATCAGATCTTTGTGATTCTACATTCTTCAAAAACAAATTATTCTTTCAGAAACGGTTTTTACTGGGCCTACCTCACCTTTACCGTCTCCGGGGAATGGGAATGAAACTGCACCTGGATCAGTTACACAGCCAAAGAAAATTCGAGGAATTGGATTTGGAGATATTTTTAAAGAAGGCTCTGTGAAACTTAGAACAAGAACATCTGGTAGTGAAATAGAAGAGAAGAAAACAGAAAAGGTAGTAATAATGAACTTTACTTAGATTAACTGCACTCGCTAAGGATTTTTTTTTTTTAAGATTTTATTTATTTATGCATGAGAGACACACACAGAGAGAGAGAAGCAGAGACACAGGCAGAGGGAGAAGCAGGCCCCATGCAGGGAGCCTGACGTGGGACTCGATCCTGGGTCTCAGGATCACACCTTGGGCTGAAGGCAGCGCTAAACCGCTGAGCCACCCAGGCTACCCTCATTAAGGATTTTTTTTAACATGTAAAAGTCAGTTTACAACTCTGTTTTAATTCCTTTTTTGAGATTGCTAATAATTGGTTATGAATGAGAAGACTTAGAAACTGTTTGCAATTATATAGAGATTACTTTAATGTTTTACAAAATGAGAACATTTCCTGGTAAATTTAATGTGAACTCTTGTAATGGAAACTTTAGAGTTTTTGGTTATCATAGGTAAAAGTAGAAAAGGCAATTTTTTTTTGTTTTGCCTTTTAAAAGCTAAAATTACTTTTTTTTTTTTAATTTGAAGTAGGTCTAATGGGTCATTTTAAAATGGATTCACAAAAATAAATAAATAAACAAATAATAAACAAACAAATAAATAAATAAATAAATAAATAAATAAATAAATAAATGGATTCACAATGAAATACTAATTCCACTCTACTTAACTTTCCTCTGATTGTCAGCAGTGGTGAAATCTGCTAATCTCCCTCTCAAAATATATGGAAAAATTTATTTTTCATTAGCATTTCACTGGTGTTGTGAAATAAATCAAAATGAATGTACCATAAATTAAGACATGTAATAACAGATTTATTTTATTTTTTACCACTTGGTGAGATCCTTATTTATTTTTTCCTTCCAAATTAATAACAGATTTTTAAATAAATGCATTAAGTCTTTGTTTTGGAAGAAAATAGGTGCAGTTTCTAGAACATTAATTGCAAAGCTATTGTTTCTGAAATTCACACCTTAGAGATACAGACGAGTACCTACTTCAGTTAGTTTTTTCCATTGACTTTTTGGGTATTGTTTCATTTAGTTCTCAGTTGTATGTTTATATTTAACTCTTAGAAGAGTTTAAAGTATTTGGGTGTTTGCTTGCCTAATTCAGCTGTATTTAATTTATAAGATTGTTTTGGTTAGTGAAATACATTCTTAATTTTTCTTCTAAGGTGGTTAGTTTCAACATATTTTTTTCTTTCCCAGCTTGTTACATAGTTTTTCATGTAATAATGATTTGGATTCAGGAAAGAGAATTTGTACTTTCTACCTTACCTTTTCCTAGATCTGAGACTGTGTGACAATTAGATTATGGGGCTTAATTGATTCTTGGTTTTAAAGGTAAAGATTGGAATTCTTGTGGTTTTTGGAATGGTGCTGTATAGCAATATAACAGCCAGGAATGTTGGAGAGCCAGTGTTTGCATTATGATAGACACTAGATAATCTGGGGCTCTTTTCAAACTCTGAAGCTTATGGTTTATATAATAACTTTATTTCATTAATGATTACACTAGTATTCTTTCAAATGTCACTTAAAATGTTCACTACTCAAGAGTTATTAGAGGTGGTCTCAGGATCACCCTTATATGATGGCCTGGTGAGCGTTGCTTTGATCATTGATCTGGGAATGGACAAAGTAGAGAGCACATTTGCTATATTTGTAGGTAACATCAGGTTGGAAGAAATGATGGTTAGAATTGGGGGAGAAATTAAAGGGAGTATCTTAAAAGATAAGCAGAACACAGAGTGATAGGTAGTTGGTACATTTAGATTTTTAAATAATGACAGCTAAGGTCAAATGTAATGTTATTTCTGGGAAGAGAAGTCCAGGAAAACACTAGTATGAAGGACTCAGTTAATTACAATGTAAAATTTTCTACTATAGTTATAGGGGTTGTAACATTACCTAGGCTTTTCATTCAGATAGCAACAATGAAGAAATAATAAAGACTTTCTTTTCCTTCCCTAGGTCATCCTAAGGAAGTTTATTAGTACTGTTGTTTAAGAGCCACTTTCTGAAGTCAGACATTTTAGGTTCCAATCTGGGCTCCACTACTAAATTATTGTTACTGTTGGCAAGTTAACTTAACTGCTTATTCATCTATGAAAGAAGCGAGTAATAAAGCTTACTTTATTCAGATTGCTTTGAGGATTAGGTTATAATGTATGTAAATGTTTAGCTCAGAGATTGGTATTCAGTTTTCAGATGCTATTATTTTTCTTTATTTTAGAGGTTTAAAATTAAATCACATTATGGGTAGCAAAGAATGTGTATTATCCGTAAGATAGGGAGTTTTTAAAATGTGAAGTTCTGAGCTATCATTTAAGTAGCTTTTGTTATCTTTATCTTTTTCATTACAGAGTTTTCAGTTACATTACTAACCTTGCTACAGGTCATTAGAGAAAGCTGTCTAACTGCAAATGGAAATTTTATTTAACAATATTATCTTAATTCTCACCTAAAATATTTGATACCTTCCTTTTCTATTCCAGCCCTTAATTATACAGTCAGTAGGATCCAAAACACAGAGTCTGGATGCAACAAAAACAGACACGGAAAATAAAAGTAAAGGTAGGTTTTTGGATAAAATTTTCATACTGGGAATGAACCATGCTCAAATATGTTAGTTTTTTGAAGATGTTTGTAAAAACTACTATTTGATCAGAGTATTAGATCCTAGGATATGTAAGCACTACAGGGTCAAAGACTGTAGAGTGCTTTGTTCACCTGTGTATCCCCCTGCAGTTAGAACTGTGCCTAGAACATAGTAGACACCTGGTAACTATTTGAGTGCACAGATTAATGAAATTGTTACTTAATTCAAAGTTTATAGTGTTGACCAAAATTATTAATTTCATCTTTAATATTTCTGTATATTTTTTACACAAAGTGGATGCTTAATAAGTACTGTTTAAAGAATCAATTTATTTAAACTAAGTTATTTACATTCTTTATTTTAGCAAAGGAATATTGCAGAACATTATTTGCCTATGAAGGTACTAATGAAGATGAGCTTTCTTTTAAAGAGGGAGAGATAATTCACTTAATAAGTAAGGTAAGATATTTCTCAATTTTTCAGTGCATTGATTTATTTTATTCATTCTTAATACTCTTCCTACAATGTGTAAGCTATAGAGGAGCTGGAACTTTGTCTTGTTTCTGTGTCCTGAGAGCCTGGCACATTGTAAGTGCTCAGAAAGGCTTTTTTAAGCAAATTTTTATTGTCTGTCTTTATAATAATTGATATATAGGGGATTATTTTTATCATAATATGTGTTTTTTCTCTAACTCCTCCAGGTTTCTATTCTCACTTCCTGGTTCACCTTATTAAATTTTTTCCCCCATCTAATGTTTGTTGTTTATAATATAAAAAGAAAAAGAGGGATGCCTGGGTGGCTTAGCAGTTGAGTGTCTGTGTTTGGCTCAGGGCGTGATCCCGTGCTCCTGGGATCGAGTCCCACATCAGGCTCCCTGTATGGAGCCTGCTTCTCTCTCTGCCTCTGTCTCTGCCTGCCTCTTTCTCTGTCTCTCATGAATAAATAAAATCTTAAAAAAAAAGATATTTAGAAGAAAAATAATGAAACAATTTAAATTCCATCATATGTAAATGTTTATAAAACCATACTGTGGAAAGTAATACAGCTATTTCAAAGAATGAAGTAGTTTTATAACTTGGAATGGATTATGGCAAAAGAAAAAACCCAGGAGTATTTGGGTCTGGGCAGAATCCTGTAACTATTTGTAATAGGAGAAAACTATAAATATTTTGGTTGTGTTATAACCCATTTAGAATAATTTCTGAAAATTTTCCCCTTGTTTTAAATTGACTTTGTTATAAGTGGTTTAGTGTATGTAATTTTTAATATCCATACAGTTTTGGACTGATAATATCCAATTTCTCATGGAAGGGGGGGTATCTGGAAAGAATTGTAGAATATCTTGTTACATTTTAAAGCAAATGAATAATGTGATTATTTTTTGGTATATAAAGTGTTAAGAATGTCCAGTAAGATACAGTTTAGAAAGTCATGTTCTCTTTTCATCCTCCTCTCCTACTTTGCTTTTTCCGTTCTCTTCTCCTTGTAAACTGAATTTTAAAATTCACTTGACTTATTTTAAAAATGAAACCAATTTTATAAGTCCTGCTGGAAGTAATATGTGAGTAATGTTTGCTTTAAGGAGGACTTTATAATCTGTTTAGCCTTTTTTTCCCCCTTGTAAAACCAATGGAATTCAATATTTTCCTATTGTAAACTTTTTTCGTATTTAAAGATAACCCCTATTATTTTAATCATTCTTCATTTTGCACTATAGGAGACTGGAGAAGCTGGCTGGTGGAAGGGTGAACTTAATGGTAAAGAAGGAGTATTTCCAGATAATTTTGCTATTCAGATACATGAACTGGATAAAGACTTTCCAGTAAGCTTTTATTTTTCAAAAATGGTAATAGTTTAATGAACCTTTTGCTAATATTTCCTTAAAAACAGTTTTTTTTTGCATTGTTATTGAATAACTTTATGAGGGGATTTCCACTTTTTTTTATTGAGGTAGGATTGATTTGAACTGTAGTAAAACAAAATATTTCAGTTCTGTACTTTATTTCTGGTTTTCTTTCCCCACTGACGATTTTGAAAAGTAACCTTAGACTTAATTATTTTATTATAATTAAAAGAAAAAGTCTTCCATACTAGTTAGACAAATTAACATGTGCCTAGAAGAAATTATACTTTCAAAATCTTACTTTAAGCTACTGTTGATTTTACAATATTTCTCTGTCATGAATTTTTGGGAGGGTAAGAAGCAATCTGCTTTCTTACAGGATTTAAGTCCTATATCTCATTTCTGACAGTGAATAAAGTGATGCTGAATCATTCATCAGTGACTTTTTGCTTTTCTGCAACTTGATCCCTTTTTACCCCATAGAAGGATGGACCTCATTGAGGATTGATTGAATGATTGAAGTATAATTGACATACAGTATCCTATTGGTTTTAGGTGTTATAGATCATAGTGATTAGGTATTTTTATACATTACAAATGGTGGGCAGCCCGAGTGGCTCAGCGGTTTAGCGCTGCCTTCAGCCCAGGGCCTGATCCTGGAGACCTGGGATCGAGTCCCACGTCGGGCTCCCTGCATGGAGCCTGCTTCTCCCTATGCCCCGCCCCCCCCCCCCCCCCCCGTCATGAATAAATAAAATATTAAACGAAATAAAGAAAAATGGCAATATGGGGAGTAAGATGATGATCTGATGTATGTGGCTAGTTTGGAAACATCTTAGTGATTTCATGTTTTTTAAATATAGTCTTTTTCTAGAAGAATACGGATTTTGTGTTTTTTTTTTTTTAAGAGGGAGGGGAGGGAGAGAGAGATAATCTTTTTTTTAAGGTTTGTTTATTTCAGAGTTAGAGTAGAGGGGGCAGAGGGGTGGGAGAGGGAGAAAGAATCTGAAGCAGACTTCCCTCTGAATACAGAGCCCCACTCGTAGCTAGATCCCAGTTCCATGGGATCAGGACCTGAGTTGAAACCAAGAGTCTGACACTTAACTGACTGAACCACACAGGTTCCTCCAGGAGAGAGAATATTAAGAATTGGATGCTTAACTGGCTGAGCCACCCAGGTGCCCCGAGTGCTGATTTTGTTTTTAAATCTGTTGATATTCCACTGTTCCCGTAAGAATTGTTTTTTTAATGCTCCTTTATATATCTGTGATATCATTTGTAACTTCTCCTATTTCATTCCTTGTGTATTTATTTGGGTCCTCTTTTATTCTTGATGATTTTTAACTAGATTTATTGACTTTGCTTACTAGCCTTTCAGGAATCAGTTTTAGTTTCATTGATCTGGTCTGTTGTTTCTTTTTTATCTATTTTGTTTATATCTGTTCTGTTGTTTTTCTACTAACTTTGCATGGTGTTTTTTTTTTCTAGTTCCTTTAGGTGTAAATTTAGGTTGTTTTTTTGGGAATTTTCTTATTTCTTGAGGTGGGCTCTGTATTGCTACGAACTTGCTTGTTAGAATTGCTTTTTCTGTGTTCCTAGATTTGGAAAGTTATGTTTCAATTTTCATTTATCTCAACATTTTTTTTTGTTTTGTTTTCTCTTTGATTTCTTTGTTGACCCATTGATTGTTTAGTAGCATTGTTTAGTTTCCCCGTGTTTGTGTTTTTTTTTATAGTTTTCTTGCAATTAATTTCTAATTTTATACTGTTGGGGCTGGAGAAGATAACTGTAATGATTTCAATATTCTGGAATATTTTGAGACTTATTTCAGTAGGGCCTAACATCTGGAGACTGTTCATGTGCACTTGAAAAGAAAGTGTTCTCTGTAGTTTATGAGTGTTACAACCTATTTAGTCTGATGAGTATTGCTGCATAAGCTTTTTTTTTTTTTGTTTCCATTTGCATGAAATATCTTTTGCATCCCTTTACCTTCAGTCTGTGTGTCTTTAGATCTGAAGTCAGTCTTTGTAGGCAGCGTATAGATGGGTCTTGGTTTTCTTTTTATCCATTCATCCAGTGTCTTTTATTGGAACATTTAATTTACATTTAAAGTAATTGTTTATAGGTATGTACTTCTTGCCATTTTAATTGTTTTCTGTTTGTTTTTGTAGTTTTTCTCTGTTCATTTCTTTTCTTCCCTTCGTTTGTGGTTTGATAGTTTCCTTATATGTTATATTTGGACTTCTTTCTCTTTATTTTTTATGTTTCTTCTCTAGGCTTTTAGTTTGTGGTTATTTTGAGGTTCCTGTGTATTGACATATATATATATTATATATATCAGTCTATTTTAAGCCAATATTTGCTTTAGGTTAAATGTATTTATAGAAATAACCTTTTACCCTCCACCTGATCCATGTTTTAACGTTTTGATGTTTCACTTTACATCTTTTTATTTTGTGTGTCCCTTAAGTACTTACTATAGTTATAGTTAATTTTACTGTTTTTGTTTTTTAATTTTTATACTGCTTAAGTGACTGATTTACTGCCTTTACTATATATTTACTTTCATCCGTGAGATTTTTTCTTTCATATATTTGTTTTATTTGTAGTTATGGTCTTTTTTTTTTTTTTTTCCTGCTTAAGGAAGACTCTTTAAGATTTCTTGTAAGATTTTTAGTAGTGATGAACATCTTTAGTTTTTGCTTGTCTGGGAAACTCTATCTTTTCTTCAGTTGTGAATAATTTTGCCTTGTAAAGTATTCTTGATTGTGGGCTTTGTCTTTCAGGTCTTTAAATATATCCTGTCACTCTCTTCTTGAAACAGAAGTTTCTGCTGAAAAAATTAGCTGATATCTTATGGAGTTTCACTTATATGTGACTGTTTCTCTTTTGCTACCTTTAAGATTTTATCTTTAAGTTTTACCATTTTAATTATGATATATATTTGTGTGACTCTCTTTGGTTTCATCTTGTTTGGAATTCTCTTTTCTTCCTGGACATGGATGTCTTTCATTTACTAGATTAAGAACATTTGTAGCCATTATTTCTTCATATAGATTTTGTCTCTTTTTTTCTCCATATGAAATCCCTATAATTTGAATGTTAGTACACTTAATGGTATTTCTGAGGTCTCTTAACCTATGTCATTTTTTAAAATTCTTTATTCTTTTGCTATTCTGATTGGGTGATTTTCAGTATTCTTTCTGCATTGGAGTGATCCATTCTTCTTTATCCTCTCATCTCTTGTTGATGCCCTCTGATACCAGTTATTGAAATTTTCAGCTCTGTGACCGACCTTCCTTCCTTCACATGGAGCAGGGGTGTAGGAGGGACAGAGGGAAAGAATCTAAAGCAGGCTTACTGAAGGCTTGATCTCATGACCCTGAGATCGTGCCCTGAGCTTTGCTCAAAACTTGAATGCTTAACTGAGTCATCCAGGCACCCCTTTTTGATACTTTCTTATATGTCCTACCTGTTTAAGTTTGTTTTTTGTTTTTTGTTTTTGTTTTTGTTTTGTTTTGTTTTCTGTATTCCTTCATTCTCCCTAGTTCGGTGAGCGTATTCATGACCATTAGTTTGAACTGTTTATCAAGTAAACTACTTATCTGTCTTAGGTTTTTTTTTTCTGAGGTTTTATCTTGTTCTCTTGTTTTGAACATCTGTCTCCTTATATTGTTTGTCTTTGTGTTTGTATTTATATATTTGGTGGAATAGCTACCTCTTGGTCTTGAAAGAATGGTCTTACGTAGGGATGTCCCCTTTGTTGACTGTGTGTATCAGGAGGATTTGGCTGGGCAGCTCGATCTGGAGTAAACATGGGCTGGGGGTGCTTTGGGGCTTGCTATATACCAGGGCACTTTGGCAGGATGGCTGGGGCTAGAGTTAGCCTGGGCTCCTTGGTGGATGACTTGAGCAGCTGTAGGCATTAGAGGGATTCCAGTATACTCTGTGCCAGGGCAATGCTGGTGGGAGAGCTTGAACTGCTCTTTGCAGGTCTGAGCTAGAGCTTCCAAGGCTACCTTACTGTGATGGCTAGAGCTGGGAACCGCCTTGGTGGGCATCTGAAATTGTTTTGGGCTTAGGGCCCCAGACTTGCTGGGCAGTCTTAGCAAGCCAGCTAAGGGGTGCCTAGATTCTTCTCATCAGTACTGTCAAGTGTGGGTATGGGGAACTTGCAGGCATCTTTGACCTTGGTAAGAGTTCGAACAGTTCCTTCATTTGGCAGACTCTCTAGAGTTAGTAAATGGATTTTCTCCACTTATAGTCTAGTAGCCGTTTAAATTACTGTTTTGTTTCTGTGCCCCAGGGCAGGTGAGTCTGCTTCAGACCCTCAGTGATATCCCTCCCTACTGCAGATTCTTGCATTTGGGACGTGGTTTGTGTTGTTACCTTGTCTGCTACTGTTCTCTGTGTGGTCCCTCTGTTGTTTATTGTCCAGAAGCTATTCAGTCCACCCTCACTTTTTCATGAGGAAAGGCTCTATATGTAGGTGTAGATTTATTGTGTCCATGGGAGAAGTTCAGTTCAGTCTTCCTATGTCTTCATCTTGGACTGCATCCTCTTTGCAACTTTTGTAATTGAATCAGAGAGCAGACTCCCAGAGCAAGACAGTCTACCATATTTTGTTTAAGCCAATGTAGAAATTTCTAACCTTCGCGTAAGTAAATTATTAGAGGTTACTCTATGGGTTAATGCTGTCTGAGGCCTTTCTTTAGCTAGATTTCATTTAGTATTTATTCAGCCTTCAGAGTGCTTTATTTTTGTACACAAAGAACAAATTATTTTGGGGGATTTTATTCAGTGTTTATAAAGCATTGACTATCAGTTATTATTTTTTTTTTTTAAATTTTATTTATTTATGATAGTCACAGAGAGAGAGAGAGGCAGAGACACAGGCAGAGGGAGAAGCAGGCTCCATGCACCCGGAGCCAGATGTGGGATTCGATCCCGGGTCTCCAGGATCGCGCCCTGGGCCAAAGGCAGGCGCCAAACCACTGCGCCACCCAGGGATCCCTATCAGTTATTTTTAATTTGCACATTCACATGCTTAGAATTGTCTCAAGTTTTTTAAATCATTAAATAAGTTTTAAAAATGAATGAATGCTGGGATGCCTGAGTGGTTTAGTCAGTTAAGTGTCTGACTTTTGGTTTCAGCTCAGGTGATGATCTCAGGATTGTAAGATCCAGCCCTGTGTGGGGCTCCATGTGGAGCTGTGGAGTCTAAGATTCTCTCTCTCCCTCTACCCTACTTCAACCCTACTCTTTCTTAAAAAAAAATAAAAATAAAAAAAATGCTTAAAACCCAAGAAATTTGAATGAATTGAGGAAAAACAGACCTTTTCATTTTTTTAAAGATTTTATTTATTTGTGTGCCCATGCAAATGGGGGAGGGAGAGGGATAAGCAGACCACCCTGAGTACGGAGCCCTCAGTTTCACGACCCTGATATCCTGATGCACGTGTACTGCAGACCTTTTCTTTAAATCTTCTCTTTGAGAGTTCCAAAGAATTGAGTTTATAAGCTGGATATATTTATTAGGTACTCTTTTTCTTTAAATCAGTCTTGCTCTCTTCCTTTCCCTGCCACCTCTCCTTGCCTCCAGTACTCAGTTGTTAAAGAGAGGTAAAATTGTGCCTAGGAATCTTAAAGTAAGGGAGGCAGTAGTGAATATTTTTGATCATCATTAAGATATTTTGGGGTTTATCAAACTCACTCAAATGAGCTTTGACATATTTGAATTTTGATCAAGAAGGCATTTGTTCTAATAGAGTATTTTTTTGTCAGTGGCTTTTGGTTGTTAAGACTTTACTGTTTTATAATTTTTGGTAGGGATGAGATGAGGACAACTATTCCTACAATTTAGATTGTTAATGATCAGAATTCATGTTAAGTATAAATATGTAACATGTAAGTGTTCAATGTATCTTCACCATTGTTATTTTAATAGAAACCAAAGAAACCACCACCTCCTGCTAAAGGTCCAGGTATGTAAGAAACACATTATTCAGTTTGCTGTTTTTCATATTTTTAAGTTATAAAATGGTGAAATTGGTTTTAAGTATAAACTACTCATTAATATTAGCAAAAATCATATATGGTTAACATGTATCAATTTCAGAAATAAATGGGGCAGCCTGGGTGGCTCAGTGGTTTAGCACCACCTTGGGCCCAGGTTGTGATCCTGGAGACCCGGATCGAGTCCCATGTCGGGCTCCCTGTAGGGAGCCTGCTTCTCTCCCTCTGTCTCTCTTGCTGTGTCTCTCATGAATAAATAAATAAAATGTTTAAAAAAAAATTTCAGAAATAAATGAAAATGATGTGTTCATATGTATTAATGTTAGTATTTTTAAAGTATAAACTATAAAAGGATCTTAAAAACAATTTGGATGCTTTAGTTAAAACTTGTCATTTCTAATTAAGAAAATCGACAAAGTTTAAATGTATTTAGATAGAATACTTAATATACTCACCTAGCCAATTAATTATTCTGCCTTTTTACATTAAATCCATATATTAGGGATGCCTGGGTGGCTCAGTGGTGAGCACCTCCCTTCAGATCAAGGGCATGATCCTGGAGTCCTGGGATAGAGTCCCACATCGGGCTCCCTGCTTGGAGCCTGCTTCGCTCTCTGCCTATGTCTCTGCCTCTCTTTCTGTGTGTGTCTCTCATGAGTAAATAAATAAAATCTAAAAATATATATATATATATATATAAAGAAATCCAGATATTAATGTCTCATTTAAATACTAATTTGTATTTTTCAGAGAGTGTGCTAAGGGTTATAAGCAAACTAGAAGAGTATTTTTTTAAGCAGTTGCATTTATTATGGTATTATTATTATTTTTTTATGGTATTCTTAGAAGAGTTTTCCAGAGTTAGTTTTATAATCTGGATCTTTGTCTCTCTGTAAATTTTAGCCCCTAATTTCTGATTTTTACAAATGAAATACAATTATTTTTCTTGAAAGATTTGTTTTAAAATAATACAAATCCTTCCCTGCTCCCAGGCTTTCAGCTTTGTATTTGCTGACCTAATCCCAGAATGAATAAAGCATAAGTTAAAAGTCATTTTTATAGAAGTTAGCATTGAAGGCTTTTTAGTAACTAGTCATTTGGGGGCTTTTAAAATTTAACTAAAGTTAAATAAAATAAAAAATTGAATTCCACCATCATAGTAGTAACATTTCAAGTCTTCATACTCAATATTAGATAGCACAAAAATAGAGTATTTCCATCATTGTGGAAAGTTCTACTGGAGAGTGGTGTTGTACAGGATATGAACACCTTCATTTGACAGAGAAGGAACTGAGACCACAAAGTAATAGCGTGGTAGGTGTAGGATTAGATATTTAGCCTACTGATTTTGGTACATTGTTCCTCTGTTAAGCCATCTTTTCCTCTGATGTTTTTTTTATTTTTATTTATTTTTATTTTTAAAATATTTTATTTATTTATTCATGAGAGACACACAGAGAGAGAGAGAAAGAGAAAGAGGTAGAGACACAGGCAGAGGGAGAAGCAGGCTCCACGCAGGGAGCCTCATGTGGAACTCGATCCCAGGTCTCCAGGATCAGGCCCTGGCCTGAAGGTGGCGCTAAACTGCTGAGCCACCTGGGCTGCCCACTCTGATGTTATCTTTAAACTAACATTTACTGGGGGCAGCCCAGGTGGCTCAGCGGTTTAGCGCTTGCCTTTGGTCCATGGTGTGATCCTGGAGACCTGGGATCGAGTCCCACATTGGGCTCCCTGCATGGAGCCTGCTTCTCCCTCTCTGCCTGTGTCTCTGCCTCTCTCTCTGTGTCTCTCGTGAATAAATAAATAAAATCTTTAAAATAAATAAATAAATAACCTTTACTGTTTTAATAGAATTATCTTTGTGCTTTGAAACTATTATTTTTAAATACTAACTTTGTTTTTTTCCCTAGCTCCAAAACCTGAGCTAATAGCTACAGAGAAGAAGTATTTTCCTATAAAGCCAGAAGAAAAAGGTGAGACTAATTCTTCCACTTTCAGAAAAATAATTCTTTCTTTTGTTGTCATTGTAAACAATGAACTTTCTCCACACTGAATGATTTTTAACAGCCATTTGGTATTAAGCAATATTTGGAGTTTTCTGGGGAGGAATTAGTTTGTCAAGGTTGATAGGAAATTGAGATTTTTCTCAAACTGTTATTGATTTATATTCATTAAAAAGTTCTGTCATTACTTCAGCAGGAATGTAGTGTTTCATTATAGCTGTTTCAAATAATGTAGAAGAAAACTAAGTATTGAATACTTATACTTAATTTTTTTGGAGTCCCAATTAAATTAAAATTTTTTTTTGGGTGAGTTCTAACCTCAAAAACATGGACATGATTTGTTAGGTGTTATCTAATTTTCACTGCCTGTATTTGTCATATAAACTTGGAAAGTTATTCCAAGGTACACATGTATTTTGTTAAAAACATCATTTTGTTTTGTTATTAACTTGGAGAAAATAAGTACTTCTCTTCATGCAGAAGGATCTGAAGTGAGTTCTGTCTAGTATATTAGGTTATATATAGAGTTGATCCTTGAGCAGCATGGATTTGAACTGCAGAGGTCCACTTGTACATGAATTTTTCCCCCTAAGTATGATACAGCACTGTAAATGTATTTTTCTTATGATTTTATTAATGACCTTTTATTTAAAAAAAATAACCTTTTCTTTAGCTTACTGTATTAGAGGATATAATACACATAATATACAATACATGTGTTAATTCACTATGTTATTGGTAAAGCCTTCTAGCCAACAGTACGCTTTCAGTTAAGTTTTTGGGGAGTCAGAAGTTATATTCAAATTTTCAACTGTGTGGGAGATTGGTGCCCCTAACTCCCTGTGTTTTTCAAGGGTCAGCTGTACAAACAATAACTTGAACATGGTCCTAGAGTGCTTCTGTTTCTACTGCCAGTATTGTTTCTGCCTATCCTTGTGTGTGGTCTACAGTGTTCCCTTATTTTCTTAACTGATTTCTCTCACTTTAGTCCTTTGTCTGCCTTATATTTCATATTGTTGCCAGGTTCATTTTTTTTAATAAACTATTTTTTTAGAACAGTTTTAGATTGACAACAAAATCGAGCAGAAAGTATAGACAGTTGCTGTATACTACTTGCCCCACACATGTACTGTGTCCCCCACTATCAACATCCTGAACCAGAACGGACCTCCACTGACATATCATCACCCAGAGTCCATAGTTTATATTAAGGTTCATTTTTGGTATTGTACATTTTATGAGTTTGGACCAATGAATAATTTGACCAATGTGTAATGTACTATCTTACAAAATATGTCTTACTGCTGTTAAGAATTTTCTTTGCACTGTCATTTCATTCTTCCCTTCCCTCAGCCCCTGGCAACCATTGATCTTTTATTATCTCCCTAGTGTTGCCTTTCTCAGAATGTCGTATGGTTGGAATCATACAGTATATAGCTTATGCGCTTTGTAGTATGTATTTAAACTTGCTCCATGTCTTCATGACTTAATAGCTGATTTCTCTTTAGTGCTGAGTAATAGTCCATTGACTATAGTGCAGTTTATCCAGATTCACCTTTTGAAGGACATCCTGGTTGTTTCCAAACTTTGTTAGGTATGAATAAAGCTCCTTACTAGAAATAAACATCCTTGCCCAGGTATTTTGGTGTACATATATATTTAGTTCACCTGGGTAATTAACCAAGGAGTCTGATTGCTGGGATTAAGAGGATATTGTGTAAGAAACTTTCAAATTGTATTCCACACTGTGCCATTTTGCATTCTCATCAACAGTGAATGAGAACTCCTGTGTTCCTTATCCTGACCAGCTTTTGGTGTTGTTGGGAACTGAACCCCAAGTTACAACTTTGTATCATCTTTTTCTTCCATTTACTAAATAGAGTAATCATACTCTTTTCCCTATGTCATGTATGTTCATAACTTTATCTCTCTCTCAATATCTGTGCCCAGCATAGGTTATATTCTTTTTTCTGTACATTTGAGAACTTTTTGTTTTACAAAAACCATTTGTGCTTCAAAATATTTCTTAACCTCAGATGTAATATGGTTATTGTTAGGTCCGAATCTTGGATCAGTTTATTTGTATCTTTTGTACTTGAAAGACATTCTATAAAGATATGTGGAACCAAATGTAGGAACTCTTACAGTGGCTTTAATACGTACATTATGATACTCCTTTATAGTCTCTACCATCAAGAAGGTAGGAGTTTTGTGAAAATTTAGTAGTAACTTCCCATATTCCCTGAAATCAGTCAGGTGATCTTATAAACAAGATAAACGGTGATGATGCATTTTTATTTCATTTATCTGCTCAAAATTCTGGCCGAGGTAATAAGGACTGAATTTGCCTTCCTGAGTTAATACAACTAGAAAACTGAACAAAATACATGAAATAGTGGTTTCAGATATTGGATAACAGCATAGGACTGTTCTCAATGAAGGAGCTTCTCACTGAACCAGAAAGGCAAGCCCTAAAATTACCCTAGCTTATTGTCTAGAAGCAGTTTACTATCAGCAGAAAGGAGGAAGTCCCAACAGAGCCCAGTTTTCATGCAGAATTGAGGAAACAGGAGATAGGAGTTTGGGGAGTCCAAGGTGGCTGTGCCAGAATGGAGGGAATTCTGCAGAGAGCACTCTGAGGTCTCTAGGGTTTACCATGAGGCTTTGGCTGAGTGCTGTCAGTTACACATGTAAGAAAGGAAACTTCCATAGCTAGAGAAATAACTGCTGGAAAGCATTTGGTGAAGCAACTTCTGGAACTCAAGAATAGTTCATGTTCCCACAAGCCACAGTGGAAAGACTTCATAAGGCATAGGTAGAACCTATAAAATATTATATTACCTTAGGCTAAAGGCTTCTTTGCAGGTACTTTGGAAGCAGATTGAACTAATCCCAGAACAGAACTCAGTACAGTTTGAAAGAGTATGACAAAATCTAGCAGCTAAGCATGTAAAATACACAGTTCATTATCTGATTAAAAAAATTACCAGACATGGAGAAAAGCCAGGATAATAGCAGCCTGTAACTAGAAGAAGAATTAGTCAATTTAAACAGACCCAGAAATGACAAGAGATTATGGAAATAGCAGTAAAGACATTAAAATAGCTATTATAATTATATCTGATGTGTTGAAGACAGTAGAAGAAAACACAAGCATGATGGTGAGAGAAATGGAAAATATAAAAAGACCCAAATAGAACTTATGCAGATGAGTTAATACAGTATTGGAAATGAAAAATATTACGTGGAATTACCAGCTTATTGGACACTGTAGAATGAAACATTAGTGAACTGGAAGACACAGCAATAGAAACTATCTGAAACATACTAGAGGGGCAACTGGCTGGTTTAGTCAGTAGAACATGCAACTCTTGATCTCAGAGTCCTGAGTTCAAGCCCTGTGATGGGTGTGGAATCTACTTTAAAAAATACTAGGAAAAAAAAAATGAGTAGAACTTATTAACTTGTGACAATAGCAAGTCTTTTTTTTTTTTTTTTCTAAGTAGGCTCCACACTCAGCATGGAGCCTCAGGGCTTGACCTCATGACCCTGAGATCAAGACCTGAACTGAGGTAGGTCAAGAGTCAGGCACTTAATCAATTGAGCCACCTACATGCCTTGTTGAGTAGTTTCATATATGTGTAATTGGAGTCCCTGAATCAGTGGAGAGGGAATGAGGCAGAAAAAAATATTTGAGGAAATAATAGTTGAAAAATCTTCAGACTTGTTGGAAACTGTAAGCCCACAAATCCAAGAAGCTCATTGAACTCAAAGCAGAAGAAACATTAAAGATGTTTCCATCTAAGGGAACATCAAAATGAGTTCAGTGAAAAGCTATGATAAAAAGAAAAGCATAAAGTCTAAAAGAAAATAATTCTCTACCTAGCAAAAATACCTTTCAGGAAATGCAGGCAAAATACTCATTGCCAGCAGATCTGTATATTCTATACAGAAAATGTTAGAAGTACTTTTGGGCACAAGGGAAAATAATGTTATATGGGCATTTAGATAAATAGAAAGTATTAAAGAATACCAGAAATGGTAAATGTATAAGTAAATACAAAAGACATTTTTTTTAAAAAAAATTTAAATCTTGTCAATAACATCAAAACTCTTCACTGGAAAGATTTAAAGCTTTTATAATAATTGTTGGTTTCTTTTTTTTTTTTTTTTTTTTACAGTTTTTTATTTATTTATTTATGATAGTCACACAGAATGAGAGAGAGGCAGAGACATAGGCAGAGGGAGAAGCAGGCTCCATGTACCGGGAGCCTGACGTGGGATTCGATCCTGGGTCTCCAGGATCGCGCCCTGGGCCAAAGGCAGGCGCGAAACCGCTGCGCCACCCAGGGATCCCTAATTGTTGGTTTCAATGTGTGCAGATATAAGAATTTTTTAATCAGTGATATAGGATAAATATAAAATGAGGGAAACAATTCTTAATATTTTCAAAATGTTCTCAATAATCTGGCATGCCTAAATCTGGTTCAAAGAATAGAAGCAACATTAGTGCTTTGCCTAAGTAAGCTTTGGACATGTGGATTGGGAGAGAGAACTAGTAGCAATCTGAGTGTTAAATATTGGTATAAAGTCTTTCTTTTTAAATAAAATTAAACATAAAGTTCTACCCTTGTTCTACCATTAACAGAGGGAACTTGTTCAAACTATGGCAAGGGCCAATTTTAGGAGCCTTAAGCCTTCTGAGAGGAAATATAGTATATTCCACCAGTATGCATGTTCATGACTTTTATCTCTGTTAAAATCTTAATTCTACAGAAGATATACTTTGAAAAGCTCTGCTGTGTTAGGGAGGTCTCAGGAAAAGAGGAGCTACTAGAAAACTTGAACCTGATTACCCAACTATCTTTGACTTTTAAGTGACTCCTCCTTGTCTTATCGGATACGTTTCAAATCTTAAGAATGGAGTTTAAATCTTGTCTGTTTACTCCCTGCCTCAGGCCATCATGTAG